ACACATGGTGTATTTTACCTCATCTAGTGTACTGATTTATTATAGGCTTTTTATTATATAAATCAATACCAAACACTTATGCAATCTCTCTGTCTACATTATGAAAACAGCTAAAACAAACTAAAAATATTATAACAGTGAAATTCCTAGTAATTCCAATAATTCCAAAATTGCAATAGTCAATTTCTCTATTAAAACAACAGCGGTTGAGTAAGTGCATTTATTCATGGATCATAAACGCAAACAATACAGTCGAGATCTCGACAGAACACAGACCAGCTGAGTGACACTTTTATTTAGATCGCTAAACTCCAGCTTGTTTGTCCGTGTTTTCAGATCATCGGCGGTGGCGCTTCCGCAATGAGGAGCGAGCGTGTGCGCATGGTTGCCAGATTGCTTAAAATAAGGAAAACACACTGGGCAGAAAATGTATCAATTTAACAGCAAAGTTCTGATTCGGGGATTAGAATTCTTGATATCTGGCAACCGCACTCATGAAAACTCGCGTAGAAGAGGCTTGTAGAGCAGTCTGCAATAACATTTTGTCTCCTTTTTTTGACAAAAATAAAAAGAAGTTTTTGGTAAAGTTTTTCGTCATAGTCTTCATTAACGAAATTAACACTAGTGTGTGTGTGTGTGTGTGTGTGCGCGCGCGTGCGTGCGTGAGAAAGAGTGTGTGCTTGGAATGGATCCCTCGCTGCTGTTGTATATGTGTCATCTAACCAGGATGGCAGAGCCAGTGACAGATTTAACCATTTTCTAACTCAGACATGCGATCAGTTTGTCCCGATTGTGTGGGGGTGATCCATTTGAGGCCCCCCCCCCCCCCCACTTAAAAAAAAATGCTATTAGTTTTAACTTTCTATTCTTAATCTTTAGCAGCTGTTTTCAACATTTATAAAGATAAGAAATGTTTATTGTTATTAGAATGATTTCTGAAGGATCATGTGACACTGAAGACTGAAGTAATGGCTGCTGAAAATTCAGCTTTGCCATTACAGGAATAAATTACATTTTTAAATATAAAACATTTAAATCAATAATATATATTGAAATTAATTATTAATATATAATATTTTAATATCAAATTAAAATAGTATTAAAATATTTCACATGTCAATAATATCCAACAATATTACTATTTTACTCTATTGCGGTTAAATAAAGCCCTGGTGAGCATAAGAGACATTTCAAAAATATTAAAAAAAATACCAACCCCAAACTTTTAAATGGTACTTTATATTTTGCATAAAAAGCATTGAATGAATTAAACCAGAAAACATGATTTTCATTACACTGATACATTCTTTTTTCCACAATAGTAATGACAATTTTGTGCTGAATCCTAATGGTTCTCAAAACTATTATCTTTGTACAAAATATAATCCCTTAATTTTCCCTTTGAATTTGAGGTGAAATTTTTCCCAGGAATATCTTCTTCATTAGATTCACCTTTCTAGTATCCACTGAGACATTCATTAAGAATCAGTTAGGGGGTGGAACATATGCTGTAGCATAAAGTACAGTAGTATTACAATACGTATAGGGGAACTATACATGCATGGTTTAGTAAATTGAGTGCATATATTCTTTGTTTTCCACTTCTTAAAGGCACAATATGTAATTTTCGCCGCTAGAGGGCGCGTATTCAAAATAAACAAATAGACAAAAGCGTAGTTTGATGACGCCGTGACTGAGTGTGGAATCATGGGAGTTGTCATCTTCATCCCCACAGCCGATTCAATCTGACGGGACTCGGGCAGAAATCATGTTCATGGATGAGCTAATGATTTATTAACGTAGTAGAATGAAGCAGGGTGAGGCTGAAAGCCGTCGAAGCGAAACGAGGCCGCTGAACGAGCGTGACACACGGCTCGAAAGCAGTGGAGCTTTTATTATGCCACAGTCGACCGCTTCCGCTCCTTCCGGTCGTGCGTATGTGGGGAAAACAAAGCAGCGCTGTTTTATCATACTACATATTAAAGCGTCTTTGGTGTTTCCATGTTTTCTACAACACAAAAATCGAGGGGTTATGACGTAATTGGCAGGCGACACAATGACACTATGGACACGCTCCGTGTCACTAGTTAAAATTGCTTATTTCTCTGGATTTAAACATTCTTCGAAACATTTGGGATAATGTAAGTACACAAGTCAGCAAAATATATAAGACTGTTCTAGTGGTTTTTGGATATGTTAATAAAAAAAATCTCACATATTGTGCCTTTAAACCACTCATTACTATGTGCTGAGCTGAAAGGACAAACAGGCCTATGCTCTGAAGGTGTAATTAACTAATGCGTTCACCAGATGAAATCTGATAAGCAAGCAGGTAAATAAGTAGTCATTTAACAGATGCTTTAATCCAAAGTGACTTACTTGTTAAAAAGACAATCCCTCAAGAGATTAAGCTTGTTGCTCAAGGGCACAACAGTGACTGTTGTTCCTCAGGGTGTTTGAACCTTTTGATTTACTCTGAACAATCCTATCCTTTGGCACTATGCCACACCACATGAAACTAAATCATATAAATTTCAAATGTGTATTATTGATTTAATGTGAACTATTCATCGACAGATATTCATAAATGTAAAGCTTTTTTGCATATCTTGAGATCACATAAGCAGCAAAATGTTTTTAATTAGCTGATTTATTTTGAAGGTCATTTCCATTCATACCTAAAATATGTGCACAAAACTGAATCTCAATAAAATCTCAATGTATTCAAGCAGAACAGGCATCTACTACTCTGTTTCCCCCTTGTGTAGTACTACCTGTGAGGCTTCTGCAAATCAACAGAACATCAGCACAAAAACAAGCAGTAAATAAATTATTAAAGAAATAAATCAGTGAGTAATTGAAAATTAGTGGTGACACATTGATCCAGCCAGCCTGGCTGGTGTTAAGCGGGCCTGTCTGAATGAGACGGCCGCCACTAAAAGACGGTTTAAAGTGTAATTGATTTTTGTTTCCAACGAGTCAGAGTCACAATGAGCTAATAATGTGGGATGATGAAGATCACTCTCCGTTCTGTGTTTATTCTCCTCACGCTTGTTTGACAATGCAATCTAGTGTACAGGTGCACAGCGAGTGTATGGCATACGATGAGACGAGTTTCACAACAAACTTAAGAGAAACAGAATTATTGCTTGAGATTTTATTGTTATCTAAGTGACAAATGACTACCTAAAATGTAGGGTTACTTATTAATCTTAAGAGTACCAATGGCTTTGGACCTTCTTATGTAAACAAGGTGCATCCTCATTATTATTAGTAACTCGGTTTATTGATGTGCATGAATTGCATAACAAGGCTAATTATTTGATATAAATGCGAGCTTTGTCTAGAAGACTGATATGACTGAAGTATTCATATCATGTGTGTATTCATCATATTTCTGAAAACTGCTATACATTTCTATAGGTTAAACCATTAAATTAGCAAAATGTGAGTGCACCTTTAAGATTTTTTTTTTGTTCAAGTTAGAGGTTTGCGATGGGAGAGGAGGAACTGAATATTTAAATATATTCTAAAACTCATTTTTCAAAACTTTGTGCAAACATTTGAGATCAATATTTGAGCTGAGTTTTCGGTGGCAGGCTGCAGAGTTTGGGCTTTTACCTTCATGCACGGTCACACCACAGTTGTCACACTGGATGATCTCATCCGCATCTTCGCTGTTGTCTCCCAGACACACGCAGCAGATAAGGATATGCTCCATCCGCTGGGAGCTCCAGGTCTGGGGTCGTTCCAACAGAGAGTCCTGAGGAAGCAATGGATAATTTAGCAATCCGACTCTAGTAAGGGATGTTACAACTAGGGCTGAACGATTAATTGCATTTGCGATAATGAAAAAACAAGATTTTTCAATCGCAGAGGCTGCGATTACACGGTCACGTGACACGCGAGAGTAAAGAGGTGTGTTCGACTTCAAGATCAGATCGGTGTATGACATCAAAGTACGGCGAGAGAAAGCATAAGGAGACGTCCACGGTCTTATAGCTTTCGCAGTACTTTGATGACACACACCGATCGGTCTAAGTAGCGCTGCTTCAAGTCGAGCGTGGGCCATCAGCAGAAAAAGAAAAGAAATAAAACAGTAAACAGCCAAAGGATGTAACTTAGAATGGGAGATGGATCGGTGTGTCAAAGGGAAGAGAAAAGCCATAGATGAAGTGGCACAGACCCAGGCAGGTGCTGGTCATTCAAAAGCTAAATGCAGAAAATATGACGAGGCATATCTTGCTCTCGGCTTCACTCACCGGGTCTATACCAGACGCTACAGTTGTGCATCGCGCCGCAACAGCTCTACATGACGCGGCAAAGCGACCATTGCAAATCATTTTAACTTTGTGTCAGTACGTCATAAATAGAACAAGGCATCAGTTTAATGTCAGGTTTTGTCGTGTCGCGCCCTATACAGTCTATGGTCGCGCCGCGCCGCATCCAGTGTACACAGCGTCACTGATTATAATGGTTCTACTGTATTTTGCCACTCGC